CGTGTCCAGGGTTCGTTACAATAAATTTGTAGTTCCGGGGCTCTGGTAAATCGTACTTTATTGACTAACTTTCTTATTTTATATAAACATATAACAAAAGAAGATCACGATAGAAAATTTCAGTAACGTCGCATGGAGGCTGGGTAACGGCACACGGTTCCGTTACTGGCCCGTTATGCCGTAATGGTGTGGCTTTAGTACTGGAGAGCAGCGCTCTGCTGACACCGATGAGTGGTACGCTGCTAACGTCGGTAAGTGGTGCTGTGGCCGCGTCGATATGTAGCGCTCTTGCACCGTAGGTGGGTCGCGCTCTGGTCGCGGCGGTGAGTGGCGCTCTAACAACGTCGGTGAGTAGCGCTCTGGTGGCGCCGGTATGTAGCGCTCTTGTAATGTCGGAGATTAGCGCTCTGATGTCAGTGACAAGGTGTTCTCTGGTCGCGCCGATGAGTAGTGCTCTGGTAACACCGGAGAGTATCACTCTAGTCCCGCCGATGAGCGGAGCTTTGATGTCGCCGGAGAGTAGCGCCCTAGTTACGCCGGTGAGTGGCTCTGATGTCGGTCTGCTGACGGCGGGTGAGCAACGCTCTTGTTGCCGCCGTTGATGTCACTCGTACGCGGCTTCACGTATACTGTGGTGGGCGGTGATCGAAGCCGAGTTTAGTGTTCACTACTTCTGAGTGGCGATGTCTCGTGGTATTATTTGCCGACGTACAATCAATTCCTGCACTCAGCCGTACTTCTCACTCGGTTCTATTGCTCTCTACTTGTGGTGTTATTTGCCGACGCACAAGAAATCTCTCCATTCAGGTTTAGCTGTTCAACCGCGTCCCCAGATCCGTGCGGACTGACTCTTTGCGGCTGTGTTGTATCTTCAATAGGCTATGTGCTTGATGTTGCGTGGTCGCGCAGCAACGAAGAGGCTGTCGGGTGTTGCTATGACTTGTTGTGTCGCTGGCTGCTCTGGCTTGTGTTGCGATGGCTTATTGTATGGCTGGCTGCTTTGGTGACGGATGTTTGTGTGGGCCAAATTCTTCACGGGCATTTGGTCTTCACGTGAGATTTAACGTTAGTACCTTTTGTATTTTATTTGAGTGCTTGTATCCCCGATGGTCAATGTGAACATTATGCTTTTCACGTGGCAGTCGAAGTTTTTGTGAGAATTCGTTGGTGACAAAATTCACCTGTGAGCAAGAATCGAGAAGTGATCTACCTAGTTGATAGCCTCCAGTGGCGTTACGAACGAGGAAAATAGCTGTAGCTAGAATAATAGCGTCTTGGGATGGGGTTTCAATATGGGTGTGCACAGCAGCTGATGTCGAAGAAGTCTGAGATGGAGATGAAGATGGTTCCGATGATGGTCCGGGTGGTGGTAAAGATGTAGAAAGAGAAGTCGAAGATCTTGAGCGATGTAGCATAGTATGGTGAGCACGCCCGCAGACCTTGCATTTGAATGCAGATGAGCAGTGACTGACCTCGTGGGTTTTCGAAAGGCGGTTTATACAAAGGAAAAGTCTTTTCACATTGCTAAATCGATCTGCAATATTCATATCGTTGAAGCGCTGGAAGCCGCCGCCAAGAGCGTGACGTGCGGAGAGATGCTTTTCGACTCTTTTGGCAGACTTATTGTCCACCTTACTCGGTGTGTTGAGATCAAGATGCGACGATTTTTGCATCACAATGTTAATTAGAATGGCGAATATCAGTGTCCTTACCTAACGATTGTAAAGAGCCACGGAGGGCGGAAATATTGTCAGCAAGACTGCGAAGTTGACTTCAATAATGCATTTTCGTAGACGGTAATTCGAATAGCGTTGCTATATTTTCCATTAAAGTGAGCGTGATTTTAACCTAAATAGAGCCTTTCTGTAATTCTCAATGGACACTTGGATCGCCTTGACCGTTTCTAACGTCTGCCCATGCAAGCAGTTAAGGAGATGGTTGAACTTTCCAAAGGCCAAGCTCGCGATCGATAATTTAGTTGAAAGAAGTGATGAAGTTTTTGTACTCCGAGTAATTGCCACCGAACGTAGGCAGTTTTTAAACAGTACAACAGATTTTTCTTCTTTTTTTTCTTTTTAGATACTCTCGGTAGGGGCCATGTCCCGAAAGAAACTGGTCAAGTAGTAGTGTAAATCTCCGTGGGTTCTTTCCAGCCAGTTTTTAATGCATGGAATAAGCTTATGAGTCCACCTACCCTTTTCCGATTCATCCCAATGCTTTTTCCAGATCTATATAGAGCGACATCTTTCCTGCTCTATAACTTCTTTTCGGTTTAAACTGGATCTTTCCGCAGATACCCGCTTATACACTCTTTGCATCTCGTTTGCCAGGATATCTACGGGAATCAGTCCGGCAATTACGAAGGATGCTTCGTCAGATATGGTTCGGAATCCAAAAATAGTCCTTAGTGCGCTTAGGCGATACACAGATGTGAGTATCTTCGCATGATATTTTAGGCTCATTGCTTCAGACCAAATTGGAGCACCGTAGAGTGAGACTGAGCTGACCACTCTACTAAGCAATACCCTTCTACTATGTTTGGGACCGCCGATATTTGGCATCATTCTAGATAAGAATGCCTGTAAATTCGATGCTTTCTTTGCTGCATACTCCAGGTGGACCTTAAAGTTTAAACGGCCATCAATCATTACCCCCAAATATTTGATTGCGGGCTTTGATATTATAGTTTCTGATCCAACACTGAGTCTTATTGTCTCTATGGCCTTTCTGCTACTTATCAATACTGCCTCTGTTTTGTGATCTGCGAGTTCTAGATCTCTTGATGATAGCCATGCCTTGACTCTCTTTATAGCTTCGCTGGCTTTCCTTTCAATATCCTGTATATGCTTCGCTACTATTACTACAGCTATGTCGTCTGCGAATCCTATTATTTTTGCCCGAGGAGGCAAATCGATGCATAGAACCTCGTCGTACATTAAGTTCCACAGGAGAGGCCCGAGAACGGATCCTTGGGGTACCCCCGCGGAAACACTGTACGCCTCTATTCCTCTGTCGCTCCGGTACTTTAGTTCCCGTTCGGAGAGATAGCACCTAATTATTCTGATAATGTAATTCGGGGCCTCCATTTTGATTAGGGTTTCCATTATGTGCTGCCAGCTCGCAGTGTTAAATGCGTTTTTCACATCTAGCGTTATAACAGCACAGTATTCCTTTTTGCCTCCATGCCACCTTTTCCCTTCGATGGCCTCTTTGGCTATGTCAACCACTGATTTAACAGCATCTATTGTTGAACGAGATTTCCTGAAGCCAAACTGGTGTGGCGACAGAAAGCGTCTCTCTTCTGCGATCGATGTAAGCCTGTTGCAAATAATTTTTTCGAGGATTTTTCCCAGTGTGTCCAATAGGCATATGGGCCGATAGGACGAGGGTTCCCCAGATTGCTTATTTCCCTTTGGTATTAGGACTAGGTTTTGGACCTTCCATCTTTTCGGGAAAATGCCCTCATTAAGACAAGTCTGAAACACATTTACAAATAAATCTGGCCTCATTTTAATTGCAGCTTTTAAAGCCTTGTTGGGTATTCCGTCTGGCCCAGGGGCTTTTCCGTCTTGGATCTTCTTGCATGCGGACTCTAATTCGTTAACCGTAATAACTGGGACATCAACAAATTCGTATCGTGTACAGTTTAGTACGACTTCTTCTCTTTGTGGAAATAGAGCCTTATTATATCGCGCAGCCTTTCTGGGCACGTGGTACTCGGTGCTTTCTTGTCCTTAGTTTTTACCATTACTACTCTATAGGCCGTGCCCCACGGGTTTACATCCGCTTCTTTGCATATTTTCTTAAAGCTTTCACGTTTGCTTACTTTTATGGCGTTTTTTAAGCTCTTCCTCGCCGTTCTTAGAGATTGTAGGTTTTCGTTGAAGCCTGGCCTCCCTCTGCTACGCTGCATTCTGCGTCTAGCACTCAGACACTGACGTCTAAGTATTTTTATATCGTTATTCCACCAATAGCATGGGGAATTTTGTTTCCTCACCACTCTTCGAGGCATAGCNTCCTCTGCTACGCTACATTCTGCGTCTAGCACTCAGACACTGACGTCTAAATATTTTTATATCGGTATTCCACCAATAGCATGGGGAATTTTGTTTCCTCACCTCTCTTCGAGGCATAGCAGCATCACAGGCGCATGCGAGGTTACGAACCAGGTGGTCAACCTCGCTCTCTACCGAGTCAGCTTTGTGTTGGAACTCTTCCATCATGCAGGCTAGGACCTCTCCATCTAACATACTTTCCATTTTGGGCCTGTCAGATTTGCCATCTGTTTGGGTCGCCTCAGAGTTATATACATTATTATTGCTTGATGGTCGCTGTGGGTATACTCCTCACTAACTCTCCAATTAATTTTTTGGGCCGGGGAGTCACTCGCCAGCGTTATGTCAATAATTGACCCAGTTCCCATTTTGCGGAAGGTGTATGTGGACCCGCTGTTTACTATTGATACGCCGAGTTGGGCAAAAGTTTCAAGCAGCAGCTCGCCTCTTTTATTTGTTAGTCTGCTACCCCATTCTGTTGCCCACGCATTGAAGTCACCGGCGATAATTAGCGGGGATTTCCCGTTTGCTTCTTCAGCAATACTACGCAGCATAAGGGTATACTCTTCTTTTGTAAGGCTAGGTCTTGCATAACAACTAAAAATGCTAATTCCGTTTACCTCAGCTCGAACGAAACCTTCACCCATGCTGTGCCTTCCTTGAAATGCGAGTCCACCACAGAGCCATATAGCTGCACCCTGTTTACTATCGCAAACCCACGCACAGTCATCTTTTCACCTATAAGGTTCGCTTATAATCGCCATGTCTGCCTGAAGATCCCTTACTGTTTGTGATAGTAGATCTTGCGCAGCTTCACAGTGATTGAGGTTTATTTGCACTATTCTCATTTTTTCCTGTTTGTAAGAGCTTTCTTAAAAACGGGGCATTTATAACTGCCTGTAATATGGTCTATGTTCTCTCTCTTTTCCGCTCTACACAGAATACACTGTGGATTATTTTTACAACCTTTAGCGAAGTGCCCCTCAGTGCCACACTTTCTGCACTGATTCGACCGGTCAAATGTGCTACCGCAATTACGGGACATGTGGCCATACTGAAGGCATTTAAAGCATTTTTTCAGCTGGACCCTTTCGCGGATGCGACAGTTAACCCATCCTACCTTTACTTTCCCAAGCTGTATAAGTTTCTTAGCTTTTGGAGCAGGTAAGCTAATAGTAGCTGTTTGAGTGCCAGCATAAGCAGGGCGCAGACCAGTTATATCTGAACTCTCAATACCTTCAAGACCAGGCAATGATTTAATAGCATTGTATACCTCTTCTTTGGTTGTAACCTCATCGATGTCTTTACATTCTACCAGGATTCGGTGAGTAAATGTCTTTACCGAAGCATCGTCCCCTAGGGTAGCACTCACAAGGGCCTTTAATTCCGCCGACTTTGGGCATGATTTCGCGAGTTCGATAAGAAGATCGCCTTTCTGGGTGCGTCGTATTTTGGATACGGAATCCCCGAAACTCTTAAAGTTCTCATCACTCTTAACCTTTTTTAGGATGTCGGCATACGAGCTTTCACCTTTTTTCTCTATGATGATTGCGTCTGGCCTCAGTTTTCCTGTGGTGGCAACATTCTTCGGTTTGGGCCGTTTTTCCTTCTTTTTGACCTCGGTCCACTCGCTGTCTTTATTTGCTTGCACTGTGGCCGTAGAATCCATTGTAGGCCCGTTTTCTACGGGTTGTGGACATCCCTGTTGACTTCCTCCGTTCCTTCCGCGTTTATTCGCCGGGGAGCCGACAGCTTCAGTAGCCGCTTTTCTCCGAACGGAGCCAGGCTTTGCTCTTGGCCATGGCGACGTTTGTGTGCTTCCAATAACACAGACTGCCTCGTTATCTTTGCACTTGCATTTTTCTGCAGCAGCCTTTTCGTATAGAGACCGGATATTCTCGATAACGTCTCTCATCGGTTGGTGGATAGTACGCCGTTTGCCGTCTTTTTCCTTTAGCATCGACGCAAGACATTTTATGTGCGCCCCTAGCCTTTCAAATGTGGTTCCCACTCCTAAGTTTTCTAAAACCTTTGGTTGCTTTGCGGGCAGACCCGCTTCGTTAGAGTTATGGAACCCATCCACTGGGGGAGTTCCGCACGTTGGGGTTGTCACAGGGGAGCGAGATAGTTTTGAGCTCCTCTTAAAGGGATCTAAGTCGCCTTCTCTACAGATTTCCAAACTCGAGTTATTTGGTGTAGCGTTTTTGTTGCTTGTGTTTTTTTTTGATCCATTTTGATTGTTGGGTCCCCACTCAGGGCCGTTATCTCTATTCGTATGCGTAGTTACCTATTTGATCCCATGGTTGTCTATGTAAACAGTGAGGCCATGGCGAGGGTTGAGACAAGCCCTTATGGGGTCTTGAATCAGAGCCAGATCGGTATTAGTCAGGATCGCTTCAACTGAGCCTACACAGCCGACTGAACGGTGACGAATAGAGAGCGTTTCCTGAGTCTTGCCAGAGTTTTATCGGGACGGGGGCGACACTAGCATTAGCCCGAAAGCCATTTCTGCTTGATGTCACTCAGGCATACTCAGGTAACGGAATACTAGTATCACCGGCTCATAGCAGACTTATCCTAAACAAGTATGCCAGGAGTTAAAGCCTTACTGGACTCGGCTTTAACTTGGAGTAGTTTTGGAGATACACAACGAGTAAAGAGTTTAGTATTCCTCTCAGCACGTGGATGATTCCATTTAGATCCGTAAGTTGGCCATCGCCAAGACTTTCCTCTGCGCAACGTTCGAGAATGCTGCCTGATTTTAGGCGGTTGGAACGTTTGCATTTCCAATCCGTTTTACTCGTGTTGAAAAGGCGGGACGCCAGCGTTAAGATCCGCTCGTAGAACCTGGATGGAATGCATTTGATTCCATTCCGGCCTAAGTCACCCGGGCGGAAAGCAGTAGTTTCCGCTCCAGCTTCTGGCCCTTCCCACTCTTTTAGGTCTGGGCGGAATGCACTGATTCCGCTCCGACCTCAAGCACATCTTTTGGAGCTCTTGCTCGAACTTCAACGCCGTGCTCTGGTGGATTAACCACTAAGAAGTTTAATCATACCTACTTTCGCAGGTGTGGGTGGATTTCCACAAACGTGGGTACCACCTTAAGTACTTACGTCCTTACGTTGTGCCTTCTCCATAATTACAGTTTTGTCCCAAACTGCTAGGGTTGGTGGGTATTTCAGAGGGTATACTTCCCGCCATCCTCCTACTTCCCGAGACGCACGAATGCCATTCGGGGCACACACACCAAGTGGATTTTAGTCGCCTTTTACGACAAGCATGCCTTACTGCAGGTATATTCTCGCGCCTACCCGCAGGCAGGGCAACGACTACCTTGAGTGGACAATATTGTTAGTTGAATAAAATCATTGTTGAGCAAATATAAACAATGCTTTGGTTGATACAAGTTTTCAATTAATTTTAGCTGCATTTCATTATTCATTCTGAACGTTTGGAATAAACTTTTTTGTTTATTTATTCTTTAGAACATTCCTGATGATATGTTGACGTATGTTTCAAACGCATTCTGTTTATTCCGGCAGCGAAATGGGATTATCCGGAATATATAAAGAAACGCAGCCTTTGTGAACTTGCTGTAGACGTGAATCAACTAACCGTTTATTATTGGAAAAAAAGTTTCAGTTTGACAGAAATATAAATTTACTCGATGTTTTCTGTGTTTACTTTCTTCTTTTATTTGCATATATTGAGCATAGTTACTAGTGTAAATAATACATATGTATATGGTGGTAAGAATTTCCTTAAAAGAAACGATGAAACAGGAATAGTAGTGCGAAAACCCAGGCCAGTATCTGCTGGTTTAAGTATACTGCTTCGCTTTTTCCTTGGCTAAATAGATACTTTCAAATTATAATTCACTAGAATTATATATCCACTGAGAAACCCCGTTTGTCATCAAACTTTACATTTTTAAATAACTATGCGCACACCGAAACGACTCGCGGCGATGGCAAAACTGATACTGAGACAAACAAGCCTGGGCATGTCATAGCACACACTTTTCTTTCACTACCTATCGCAGTGTTCGACATGCCATAGCTTACTGATCGCTCTGTGACCACACGCGTGTTTCACCCATACGAACAGCGGTAGCGGAGCAATGATTTCCACGATTCCAAACGATTCAGTAAGTGGGACTGTGTGCATTGCTTAGCTGGCGCTCTTCGTATGTGAAACGCACATGTGCTCAGAGAGGGCTGAGAACTATTTTTGGGTGGCTCAAAAGCAGTGTTGCAACTTTGGTAAATTGTTACCAAAATTGGTAGAAAAAATGTGGGATGGTAAAAAGGTAAGTTTTTTCTCATTTTGGTAGATTTTGTTGAAGTATTCTGATTGAAAAACAATTAAAACTTTTAAAGCCCGCTTTATTTTTTGTAGTTATCTTTATATTATAAATTTTTTTCCAGAAAATAAGTCCACTTTATTGCGTTAATTTTCTAATACTTTCATTCACACTTTTTATATACAAATGCACATAGAAATGTATATCGATAAAAGGCGAACGTATTGTGCTCCACTTACAACTCATTTTACTCGAATCCTGAGGAGCTTTTGATTGCCTTTAAATAAAAGGAAAAAATGAACCGGTATGTAATTACACAATATGATTGATGCCAAAAAATTAAAAAATCGACAACATTTTTTATCAATGGAAATTGTTAAATGAAACAAAAAATGGAAAAAAATTTAAAAGAAATCAACGGAATTCTTTGTTGTACATTGTTGGTTATACTAAAATTCCATGGGCTATAAAACTCCATATCTTAAAGTTTTTTAAAGATTTAGAGTAAAAAATTCGAAATTTAGGCAAACATTTTTTTAATTTTTCTAAGAGTTGTATATAGCTTGAACCCTTGATTCTATATGGGTTTGGTTAAAGCGCAAACAATATTCTTGTACAAAAAAAAATACCAACAAATTTTTACTTAAAAACATTGTGAATATTAAAAAAATCACCAAGCGGTTTTTTGAGTCGCTGTATTTGTCTATAGTAACTCCATTTAAAGCTTTTTCAAATGATGAAGTTTCGTTGTTGCCTTTAGCTTCACTACCTTTGCTTTTGGTTGAAGGAAACCGAGAAGATGCCATTAATATAATCTCAAACTCTATATCATTTTTTTTTAATAAAAGTTCTTTAAAAACAATTTTAATTTTTATCCAAATAACTAAAAAACTGGAAAAAATACAGTTTTTATTAAATTAACTAAAAAAGTTATTGCTAGATATTTTCTAGATTTGGTAGATTTTTCTCAAGTGGATGGTAAGAATTTTTATTCGTCAGTGGCAACCCTGCTCACAAGCATGAATTTGTTCCGCTCTCAAACCAAATCGTGGTTGCCTCAACTAAGATTTGGTAACTATGACAAAACCATGTGTTGAAAGAAAGCTTATCTGTATTAGCAGAGCTTAATGACATCCTTTTATGAACCATACGTAGGGTGACCATCCGTCCTTTACACTGAGAAAAAGGATTCGTTCGACAACTAAAGATATTTAGTTCCCGAATTTTGACAATATTTGGGAACTGTTACCAAGGATTGGGAACTATAACCATTGGTTGGTAATTATAACTAAATATATTAAAGCTTCTAATATTCATCTAGGTTGTACCAAATCGTTAATTTAGTTTAAGGGTTTGGTTAATACTAATAGATATTTCTTTGAAGCATATTTCTACAAATTCCATTCAACTTAACGCATGGTTCATAAAAGGATGTTATTAAGCTCTGCTAATGCAGATAAGCTTTCTTTCAACACATGGTTTAGTCATAGTTACCAAATCTTAGTTGAGGCAACCATGATTTGGTTGAGAGTGGTTTGTGAGCCACCCCTAAAAAATGCTGAGCGCTCTCTGAGCACATGTGTGTTTTACATCCGAAGAGCACCAGCTGAGCAATGCACACAGTCCCACTTATTGAATCGTTTGAATGTGCTAGAATGCCGACCATTGCATTGTGCGTGGAAATCAGTGCTCCGCTACTGCTGTTCGTATATGGGTGAAACACGCATTTGGTCCCAGAGCGCTCAGTAATCTATGGCATGTCGATCGCTACGACAGGTAAAGAAAGAAAAGTGTGTGCTATGACATGCCCAGACTTGTTTGTCTCAGTTTCAGTTTTGCTATCACTGCGAGTTGTTTCGGTGCGCGCATAGTTATTTAAAAATAAAAAGTTTGATGCCAACCGGGGTTTTTCAGTGGATATATAATTTATGTGAATTATAATTTAAAGTGTCTATTTAGCCAAGGAAAAATCAAAGCAGTATACTTCCAGCAGATATTAACGACTGTTCCTGTTCCATCGTTGTTTTTTAGGAAATTCTTACCACCATATACATATGTATTATTTACTTTAGTAACTAACTTATCGGCCGCTGTGGTGTAGTGGTAAGCAGTGCGCGCTTCCACTCCGCTGCACCTGGGTTCAAGCCCTGGTCAAAGCAACATAAAAAAAATATAGAAAAAAGGGTTTTTCTTAACAGCGGACGTCCTTCGGCAGGCATGGCAAACCTCCGAGTGTATTTCTGCCATGAAAAACAGCTTCTCATAAAAATACAATCGCCGTTCGGAGTCGGCGTAAAACTGTAGGTCCCTCCGCTTTGTGTAGACAACATCAAGGCGCACGCCACAAATCGGAGGAGAAGCTCGGCCAAACACTAACATATGTGTAAGCGCCAATCATTATTTATTATTAACTAACTTATGTAAATATGTACGTATTTTGATGCTTAATATATGCAAATAAAAGAAGAAAGTAAACACAACAAACCTCGAGTAAATTTTTATTTGTGGCAAACTGAAACTTTTTTCCAATAATAAACGGTTAGCTGATTCAAGTCTACAGCAAGTTCACAAAATTAATTGAAAACTTGCATCAACCAAAGCATTGTTTATATTTGCTCAACAATGATTTTATTCAACTAACAATATTGTCCAATCAAGGTAGTCGTTTTGTAATTATTAACAAATATACATTTGTCCCAACTAGAAGTCTTAAGTAAATTGCAGACTTTCGTGAACCATATATTTATTTCGCCATATCCAACTATGCCACTTGATCACTATAACCAAATCTTGGTTATTATAACTAAACCTTTTTCTGGGTGTATTTTAAATGACAGTCCTTTATTTTAATCCCCTGTCCTTTATAATTTTTTTCAAAATAAAGGACGCCTTTTGTCCTTTATTTCTTAACCTGTCCTTTAAATCGGCTCTGCATTTTTCAGAGGTAAATTTTTAAACGCAGAATATGAAAAATAAAAATGTCCCTTATAAAAAACAATGGAAACCTTCGCCAGTTTGTTTCGCACCCCACTTATGGGTTTCTATTTAATCAGTTATCTTTTTACAATCTATAAAGCACAGGGAAAGTTGAGCCCAGGATCATCTTGCACGCTGAGTTTCCAGTTCCACTGAAAGAGAACAATAAACCTCCTACTGCACAGTGGTTCAAAACTGGCATTTAGTGTTCGTAATTCCCCGGAGCCTGCATTTTTCACTTCATTTGATTAATTTAATTTTTTTTTTTAAAGGTTACAATATTTGTAATAGACCAGTTGAGCCTGATTTCTGAATTTTTATTTGATTATATTAAATTTTTTTGTGCAAAATGCAGAAAAAGTAGCAGTTTTAAAGAAAATGTATTTTCCTGTTCCAGTTAATAAATGTTACATATTAGAAACTAGTTGAAAACAATCGTAAGGTTCACCTCATGATAAAAACATTACAAGGTAAAATCATTGAGAGGCAGTCTGACGTTTGCCAGCAATATAATTTTAAAATTCGAACTCAATCTCACACACACATTCTCATTTTTAATCTCAAACAACAACAATGAACAATTTAATTTTTTTTTTTCAATTTTATATGATTTAAAAATGTTTGAAAACGTCAGAAAAAAATCATGGCCGACGAATTGAGAGAATGATTTTACGTTGTAGTGTTTTTATCATGGTTCACCCAAAACAAAAAAATACAAAAAAAAAATTTTTTTATGTTATAAAAAATGTGCACTAAAATATTTTTTTTTGCTTTTTAGTAAAAATTGGTTGAAAAATGAAGGCTACCGTGGATTATGAACATTAAATTCCAATTTTGAACCACTGTGTGCTGGCTTCGTCGCGCAGTATGAATTATGATAAACGCATTTTGGTAACAAAGGATTGCGAAGTCCTTGAAAAAGATTTGGCTTCATTTTTCGCTACAGCACGGAACTTGTACAATTAAATAATATAATTAACTGATAAATATTTGANTATGAATTATGATAAACGCATTTTGGTAACAAAGGATTGCGAAGTCCTTGAAAATGGTTTGGCTTAATTTTTCGCTACAGCACGGAACTTGTACATTTAAATAATATAATTAAATGATAAATATTTGATATAAACTACGATATGGGTAAGGTACTTTTATCATACAAGTTGTATGTACGTATTCCCAAATAATTTTGAAAAAAATGTCCTTTATTTTACGTTGGTTAATATGGTCACCGTAACCATACGTTAAGTTGAATGGAATTTGTAGAAATATGCTTCAAAAAAATATTTATTAGTATTTACCAAACCCTTCAACTAAATTAACGATTTGGTACAACCTAGATGAATATTAGAAGCTTTAATATATTTAGTTATAATTACCAACCCATGGTAATAGTTCCCAATCCTTAGTCACAGTTCCCAAATATTGTAAAAATTCGGAAACTAAATATCTTTAGTTGTCGAAACTAATCTTTTTCTCAGTGTAGGGGAAATTGAGAGAGCAAAATGTGAAAGAGAGCTGCAAATTTCTGCTGGAAAATTTTTTCCCAGCTAAAACTTGCAAGTAAAAAAATCAGCTGATCACAAAGACATGTTTGTAAATAAACAAGCGAAAATATGGCCTTTTTGAGTTATTTATTGCAAATTTTATTATTAACGCTNTTTTTCTCAGTGTAGGGGAAATTGAGAGAGCAAAATGTGAAAGAGAGCTGCAAATTTCTGCTGGAAAATTTTTTCCCAGCTAAAACTTGCAAGTAAAAAAATCAGCTGATCACAAAGACATGTTTGTAAATAAACAAGCGAAAATATGGCCTTTTTGAGTTATTTATTGCAAATTTTATTATTAACGCTAGTATACAACGAAAAAGTGAGTACATTTAATAAGCACAACCTTTGTTGAGTTTGTTTTTCGTTATTTTGCTATTAATCTCGAGTTTGTTTACTTTAGTGTGTGCTGACTATGGTTGCCATATGACATTTTTCGTTTTTTTGCTGAAGTTTTCGGTTTTGGTAGGTTGATTGTTGAAATGAAAATTTTATAATTTTAAAGCTACATCTGTAGCTATATGTATTACATTTTTTTTGGATCAATGATGGGTGTTTGGAGGAGATACTCTTGTTTTTGAATGCGTCACTATGTGATATCACAAATAATTATGAGAAAAATAACTTATTCATTCCGATATAATTAATTTGTATTTTAACAAGTAAGAAAGTCTAAGTTCGGGCGGAGCCGAACATTAAATACCCGGCGCAAATATTAAATATATGATTTTCACCTTTCCGAAAGCTACCGCTACATGGTAAGCCGGGGTGTATCAATTTTGAGTAAATTAGTAATTTTGAGTAATTAGCGTCCTTAAATTTCGAAATATTGACGTTTCAAGCATTTCTAAAATTTACCGTTATATGAAAAGCCATAATTTTAGTCCGATTTCAATACTTTTCATCGTTTTGCTTTTATGTAGCAAGCACAATAACCATACCGAGTTTGGTACAAATTGGTAGAACGGTTACCGAGATACATATATGTGATCATAAGTGGGCGGTGCCACGCCCATTTTTCAAAATTTTATCATAGACGTATTTCCTGGTAAGCAATTGTTGTAAGCATCAATTTTGAATAAATTGGTTTTAATATTTACTGATTTATCGAAGATTTCGTATTTCTCCAAATTACCGTTATATGGGATGTGGGCGTGGTTATTGTCCGATTTTAAAAA